GTTCGACAAAGTTGCGGGTGGGAGGGTGGGATGTTTGCACGAGCAGTGGAGACGACAGCTTCAAGACAATCGAAAAAAACTGCACGGCATAGCTTGCACCGCGTCGATTCTCCTTTCCAGTGCAACATTAAGAGATACCCCTCCCCGGGGTTAACCGTGTACCTTTTTCCCATTCCAAAGTACACGCGTTTCTCCACATCCTAAATATGAATGCCTATCGCCCCAGACAGGCCGGCATCCTAAATATGAATGCCTTTCGCATTCGCGTTTCTGCCCAATCGCCCATCCTAAATATGAATGCCTATCACCCCAGGCATCGGCGCACCCCCGTATCCTTGGGAGAGAATGTTATGCGCGCGCACTCGTTTATCACAAATCATCAGTTTCCACGAGCCCCTTCGCAAAACATGGGGCGAAGTCCACGCGCGCGCGTTGTCGCGCGCGCATGCCGACATCTATCAAAAAACCTCGGGCTTCGCATGAATGTCAACATCGAGCGCCCCGACAACATATAAAAGCAAATGGTTTCAGAACAAGGGTCTTCACAGAAAAACCTGCGCCCGCGCCCTCGCGAATTCTTGAAATTAGCCTGGCGACCATGAGCAGTTGTGAAAACCGCAGTTGTGGATACCATCTTCGCCCGCCACGATCCTCATGAGGGGTGTGCCCAAATGGCCCCAGGCCGCCATGCGAACCCTGCTACTGGCGCCTTCAATGGGACTCCGATGGGGCCACGATCCTCGTGAAAGGTGTACCGCAATGGCCAAAAGTCGCCATGCGAACCCGGCCAATGGCGCCTTCGGTGGAGCTCCCGATGTAGCCACGATCCTCGTGAGGGGTGTGCCCAAATGGCCCGACGCCGCCATGCAAACCCTGCCGCTGTTGCCTTCGGTGGAGTTGCAGATGGGGTCACGATCCTCGTGAGGAGCGTGCCAAAATGGCCCGAGGCCGCCATGCGAACCCTGCCGAAGTCGCCTCCGGTGGAGTTCCCTATGGTGCCACGATCCTCGTGAGGAGCGTGCCAAAATGGCCCCAGGCCGCCATGCGACCCTGTCACTGGCGCCTTCGGTGGAGCTCCCTATGGGGCCACGATCCTTGTGAGGGGTGTACTGACATGGTCCGAGGCCGACATGCGAACCCTGCCTGTGGCGCCTTCGGTGGAGCTCCTTGTGGGGCCACGATCCTCGTGAGGGGTGTGCCCAAATGGCCCGAGGCCGCCATGCGAACCCTGTAACTGGCGCCTTCGGTGGAGCTGCTATGAGGCCACGATCCTCGTGAGGGGTGTGCCGAAATGGCCCGAGGCCGCCATGCGAACCCTGCCACCCGGGCCTTCACTGGAGCTCCTTGCGGGGCCACGATCCCCGTGAGGAGTGTGCCCACATGGCCCGACGCCGCCATGCGAACCCTGCCACTGGCGCCTTCGGTTGAGCTCCCTATGGGGCCACGAAGCGCCGTCCTTGGTGGGTGAAACGTAGGGAGGAGGGGGAGGAGGGAGGGGGGAGGGGGGAGGAAGGGGGGAAGAGGGACGCGGGGACCGCCTCTTCAAAACGACGACCCAACACCACAGGATGGTTGGGAGCAAAAGCTATGGTTTCTTTTTAACATGCTCACGCAATCCTTTGAAATTGACCTCTTGCGCGCGCGTCGAACACGTTCGAACGCCCTTGCGCGAGTGCTGTCACGAGGGTCCCGTGTAACAGAAACGTATCCAAACGCACGCGCGCACATCGTCGCGCGCGTGTGCCGCACCTTCAGTGCCGCACGGGTTCCCCAAACGGGCGTTCCGAAAACGTATAAACATACGGCATTGCAGCACCAATTCCCGAAACATGCTTGCGCGCGCGTTGGATAATTCGCGGGGAAACCATAAATCTTTCAAAACTGCCATCCAACTGCCAAACGGATCTTTCGCGCCGCATGTCGAACTCATCCGGCCACCCTTGCGGGCGGACTGGGGGGCGCGATCCATGCCGAACTCCTTCCAGATCCTTCATCACCGACGCGAAAACCTCGTGATCGTCACTGGCGGGCGCGATCAACACCGGAGCCGTTCTTGGTCTCACCACCGTCATCGCCGCCATCGTCACCATCATCGCTACTGTCATCATGTCTACTGTTGTCTGACTACCTACCAGTCCACCCCAACCCAACCCGAACACCCGAATTTCGGGTTGGGGGAGGTAAGGGTTCCACATGCGTTTTTTCAATGTTTCCCGACCCCCCCCATTGGAAATCGAGGGTGAATCTGAGCCTTCGGGTCGGGTTGGGGTGGTTTGGTGGGTGGTGCTTGTCGGCGTCGCTATGGTATCGCGCCCGCCCAGGCCGCCGACTCGCACTGAAGTGTCCGGTGGAAGTGACCAGCGGTCAGCGCCGCCGCGGCCCCGTCGGTCGCGCCGCAGTGGCCGGTCGCCGCGCGCGCGGGCATGCGCGGGCCAGCGCGGCCGCAGGGATGCATCAGCCAACGCCACGCACTCATCGCAGTCGCCGTCACATGTGCTCTGCAAACAAAGTTGCGGGCGACTGGGCGGAATGTTTGCGCGAACAGTGGAGTTGACAACTTCAAGTTCGGCAAGGTGAACTGCACCGCGTACTTCGCACCACATCGAATGCACAACGCAGGTTGCAAACAAATGTTGTGGCACACATATCGCACATCATAGTTGGCTCCACCTAGACTGCAAAACATATGCTGCTAGAAACACACTCTGTTTGATCCACGCTGGCTAACACAAAAAACAAAAAGAAGGCGAGAGAGAAACAACCAAAACGAGGTTCAGGGAGAAAGAGAGAGAGAGAGAAAGACAAACAAAAAGAGAGATAGCACACAAAACAAATAGGACGAGAAAGAGAGAAAAAACAAACAAGTCTGTGAGAGAGACGGAAGCACAGGGAGAGAGTGAGATGTGATGAAGTCCACACACATATAATTATGTACGTATATATAAATATACACCCACACAAATATATACACACACGCACACACGCCACCATGCCTCTGGCACGCAGTGGAATGCCCCAAGGCTCATGCCGCCCCGACAGCTAGAGGGTTGATAATTTCTTACGAGCCCAGACCCCCAATCTCCCGGGCGCTCTCGGGCAGGATCGGGCGCCGCCGGGGTTTCTCGCGTGGGCCTCTGGGACGGTCCCCTCGCTCAGAGGGGCCCCGAAACGGTTTAAGAAAGCCACGGGATGCCGCCCAGACAGTCAGGGAGGGCCCATAATCGCAGAAAGGTCGCTCCAAGACTCCCACAATGGCTTCCTGGTGGCCCAACAGGCCTCGAAGACACCCCGAGAGGCCTACAAGAGCACTCCCAAGAGGGCCCCAGGGCCCCAAGAGGCACAACTCATTGACTTCCCCCCCCCCCACACACACACACACACACACACAACAAAAAAAAAATGTCGAATGATTTTGGCGTTGTCCCCTTTTCGGCGACCCGATGCTCCAGGACGTCTCAAGAGGCCACCACGATCGCCCTACGACAGCCGAAGAGCCCTCCAAGAGGGCCCCGAAATGGCCCCGAGAGGCCCCCAGGAAGCCCCAAGAGGTCCCCAAGAAGCCCCCCGGAGGCCCAAAGAAGCCCCCAAGAGGCCTCCAAGACGCTCCCAAGAGGCCTTCTAGAGGCTCCCAAAGAACCCCAAAACTGCCCGCCAGAGGC